AAAAAAACGTATGAAGTTAAGCAGGACACTAACATGTGATAGTACCAGGCTTCACAAATTACGTACATTGAATTGCAAAAAACTGACACTATATCTGTAATACAGATTACACACTAATATTAATACGCAATTCTAACAATGTTTTAAGATATTGCTGCAACATTGCTGGAATAATATTTCCAAATAATGTTTTTGCAATATCTCTGCAACATTGCACCGCAGTTGCAATGTTGCAACGTTGCAGCAATGTTGCTGCAAGGTTCTGTATGGGTACACATACTATTAAATTTATATTATAATATTTATATTTTGTAATTATGTTTGTGCGCACGTAATTCATGCGTCTTCAATAAATGTGTGGCGCGCATGTGCCGGCACATGCAGTATCTTTCTTCATAAATAATCCATTCGTTTTTTTATTGATTCGAATGTCGTCTCAGTAACGAAACATTTTCGACAATTGCTTCTTTTTGTCATAACTGAGCATCGAGTATGTTGGTATTGCGATTTGTAATTTTAATTTTATAACTCAACAACTATTATAGCCTCGTCGTTTTTGCATTAAATTTTTTGCTCACTATCAAACTTTTATTATTACTTTTTACTTTTGTTATTAAATTTTTTGCCTCATATACCCTGATAGGAAAACATTTACAAAATTATGTGAAAAAATCTTGCACTAAAACTGTAAAATTTGCAATTATACAGATATATTTTAGGAAATAGATGTAAAAACATTGATCTTTTATAAAATATTTGTAGTTGTTTGCAAAAAAAATTTAATTTCCAAATACTATTTTGGCGAAAGAATAACGATATGGTGAATCATNTTAGCAGTATTTGCAAAATTAATTTTAAAAAGAAATTGTCCAATAATTGAGAAAACATTTTCAGCTATGTGATGTTTAAAATATGTAGAAATATAATTGCATATAAAGAAACCAACTTACTTTATGTATATACTTATAGAAATGCATAACAACTCTTTCGCAATTTTTGACAAATATTATTTACAAAATTTTATTTTTACAAAACTGTTGCGTTATGGCAAATCATCTAAGTGCGATCATTGCAAAATCGTCGTTAGTCATGATGCCATTTTTATTATGTGCAATATTTTCACATTTGGTATATTTTCACTATTAGGGTAGTTCTAAAGAATATATCTTGAAAATATTTGATACCAGTTCTGAGACACTCTATAAAATGGATCAATTAGTACAAATTATCAAAGAGACAACTAATTGTTATTAATATATTAATGTTAATATTATTATATATAATCAAAAAAGTCACCACAATAAAAGTTTATCTATTTTTTTTGGAAAATTTGTTAAAGGATATATATTCTGCAAATTCTTCAATTGTGATATAAATAATATTATAATATTAAAATGTTATAATATATAAATAATAATATTAATGATAATAAAATTAATTTGTGCAATGAACATAGCGTACATTTGAATATCGAAATCCGTGCGAATCTTAAAAATATTATGCGACGATGTATATGCTAGGCATGTGTTGTCTTAGCTTTTTAAACTGATGGAAGCTCAATTTTCTATGTATATATATATATATATATATATATATATATAT